CAAGGATAGTCTGCAAAATAAAGAAATTTAAATAGATATTCAACAAACTTGCCCAAGTAAAAAAAATTACCAATGAAAATTTTACAAATTCAAAATGGATAATTTATTTTTTCAGCCACAAATGTATCTGGAGCACCCAAACTGACTCTGAATAGTTTTCCTTCTTTTTCTATGTGCATTTTGAATAAATTCATAAATCAGCAATCCAAAATAACGGAAACATAATTGCAATAAAATAAAAAAAACTTAGTGTAAACTATATATGACAATGCACAATATTTAGATGTTATTTCTACATTTCCTTTGCTTCTCCAAAATGTGTGACACAAAGAGTCTACTGAATTCCTAAAACATTTTAAAAGGTCTGATAGATACTTTGGTTTTTGTGTTTTATCAGGTAGTCCAATGTTTTCAAACAAAAAAATTATATTATCGGTTTTTTTATAATCATATAATATCCCATTTCCATTTTAATGACACTATATCATTTTCATTCCTATTCAAATAAGAATAATTAGATTAATAAATTTTACATAATTTCCATTTGTTATTTCCATTTGACTTATCAACTTGATATAAATACACCAGGGAAATATAATTTTCACAGTAGAGGTGTAGGTATTTCATCCATATCTTTATCTAACTGAACACCAAAACCTGCTTGTAATTGCATCAATTTGATCTTGATTATTTCTTTTATTAACCCAGAGCTTTCAATATCAAACCCATTGAATAAATTTGTTTATTTTATTTTATTAAGGTGTCATTTATTTTTCTCTAAAAAAGAAGGAAGACGGTAAAGTCATATGAACTAATTAAAAAAATAATAATAATAAGTTTTGCTTACTCCAAGGTTACATTTAATTCAATCTTTTAAATCAGTCAGCTCACACTAAATTTGGAATTTTTATGTTCAGAAGCATATCTCAAGTTATGTTTTCTAATGGAGTCGAAGCTGATGGGTTAACAGATGAACAATTTAAAGGTAGGTCGGCTCAAAGATTATATTAATGATTGATTGCAAAAATCTATAATTTTTAACTAAAAATTTTATTCAAAATAGGCTTCCTGAGGCAAATATCATAAATATTAGTGAAGAAAAATGTCATATTATAGATCAAGAATTGTTTAATAAGTTGAAAAAACGAATTCCTTTCAAACAATTAATATAAAAAGAATAAAAGATTGAATTAAATGTAACCTTGGA